TATGAAGAGAGGATTTTGATTTTGATTTAACGTTTTGTTTCTTACTTTGATGCAGTGATATGTGATGCTGACTGTGAATATCTTATGTTCTCACTGAGTAAAAACCATTTGTACAATGATTGAGTCAAAATTTTAAAATGTTGGAACCTTGTTTTTTTTAGGCCCGCCTTGTTTTTTTTTCGCCCGCTCGCATTAGATTTGGAGTCTGCGGAGGATGTCATCCGTAAAATTTACTTGCTGTGGCCTAATGTTCAGCATCCCAAACAGAACAAGAGTTCGAAGATCTCAGACCTCCATGAAATATTTAAGTCTTGTGTGACGCTGACTGTGTCCTCTTCTAATTTACCATGGTGTATACATGTCTTTCCTTATCGTGCAAGGGAAACAACGCCAGCTGTCAGCTATCAAGGAGGTCATGTAACGAAAAACAAGTGCTACCAGATGCAGACATGATTGATGACTTTCTCCCTCTGAGACAGACTGAGTCACAGACACACAGACACAGACACACACACACACACACACGCACACGCACACGCACACGCACACACACATACACACACACACACACACACACACACACACACACACACACACACACACACACACACACACACACACACACACACACACACACACACACACACACACACACACACACACACACACACAGAATTACCGAAAACAATACCTCCAATTTCCCAGGGAGGTAACATCAGGTAACCGTGAGTATAATGAGATTTTTCAGCCGTTCTGTCAAAACCATCGTTCCTTAACGCTCCCTTGAAATCCGCACATGCTGTACAGAGGTCAGTAACATTGGAGGCAACCATTCGTGAATATGCAAGGAGGCACGGCAGTCTTTGGCCGTGTTCATGTGAAGTCAGTGAAGGCGCTTTACATGTGCTTTCCCCCGAAGCCGGTTTCAAGTGGCTCCATCTGAACGCCCCAAATCACATTGAAAGCGCCTCGATCCCAAACCACTTCTAGAAGTGGTTTCGAATCGGTTTTCCCGCATCGCGATTTGCGTCTGAACGCAATGTGATTTCAATGTCACTTCGCCTAGTCATGGATTACGGGGTGATAATTGTTTATTTATATGCAATACCAACTTTTACGTGGCAGCAACTTAAAGAGTAGTAATGGTCAAATAATGTGTCCGTTCTAGGGCGAGCTTCACCGCCTCTGGCGGGACCACGTCGGCATTCGGCCGAGATACGCTGGGAGGGGGTCATCAGCAAGCAGGTCGTTGACCTCTGACATTAATAACACGCTACCTTGTTTGTTTGTTTGTTTGTTTGTTCGCATATAATCAGAGAGAAGAACAATAAAATGAACTTATTACAGCACAATAGGATATGCAGGGGAAAGATAAGAAGCCATAATGGCTTGTCCGTGATCTTCCCCCGACTAAATTATAATTGACAACTGTAATAATGGTAACAAATCAAATTGTAATAATAAATAACAATAGGTAATTGAAAAGAACGATCAATATGATAACGGTAACAAATCCTTGTGTGTTTTCATCAAACAACAATAAATGTAGCTCAGGCGAATTGTGATCGGACACGGTTTCAAAGGAACGTATGGCACGTGGACCAGATGTGAGGAATGCGAGTTACCCGAATCGCGGTTTGGGTGACTTCACATGAACAAGGCTTTTGATGGTGCTGACTGTTGAACTGATGTTCCTAGAAAATCACCAGTATTCCCAGGAAACGCGTCCGGCCCACGCAAAGAATATGTCAAGCAGTATGCCTAGCTGTATGATTGAGACATGAATCCCGCATACCCAAATCGATTTATTGATATAAAGAACAGCAAAATTGCTTTTTCAATGACATTAATTCCTGATTTCAAAGTAAGATACATAATCAAGGTGCTTTGGAATTACCTTTCTGTAGCACAATTGGTGTACGAAGTTCAGGATGGTGTTTAGCATTGTATATTAGTAGTTATAAGAAAAGTTATGATAAAACTAGAAAGGCCGACATTTGCTTTGGAGCAAATACAGCAATGGCTTCACCACATTTTACGACATGGCAGGGAAAGAATGAGAAACACAAGGGAAAACAATGCTTTACATTGATATAACTATAGTATGAAGTAACATACAACTAAGACTACAACAGTTGGATAGCTATTCCCTACATTATTGGTTAGGATTTTTAATTGCATAATGCAAACTGTTGATTTTCAAGAAAAAAGAAGCGTTCATGCCCCGCATTCCAATGCTGGAGAGCAGGAAAGCTTAAAATACCTACCAAAACACTTGAATACAGACCTACTGTCAGTATGAATGGCTCTGTGCAGGTATTAATTAAGTTAAGCCTGTTAAATTCCAACAGCCAATCAGCAAGGAGAATAGAGGAAAGCTGCATGCCTATTGGTTGATGCCCTGCATTCCATTGTGATGACTCATGCCCAAATGTGGTAACACTGCACACTAACTCAGTAATACATTTGCTATAACACAGCCAAAAAACTCAAATAAAACCATTCTAAAAGCCTGTATCACAAAAATTAAAAAAACGCCTGGGGGTATTTGCCTACTGTACCTCCATACCAAATTTCAGGTCCTTAGGCCCCAAAATGAAGAAGCTGAATCCATTTAAAGAAATGGCAGGAGGAGAAGAAGAAGGAGGAGAATCATGAGAAAAAGCAATATGGTTTCACCACTTTGTGGTGAACCCATAATAACAGTTATAACAGATAGATCGTCTATTTCAGAGACACATACACATCATCACATTACCCTCCATTGGTGTGCATCCAAAGTAAGATACATAATCTAGGAACTTTGAAATTACACTGATATAGTACAATTGGTCGCTCAAGTTTAAGATGATGTTTTACGTCGCAACGTTATAACGATATAACAGTTAGATGACAGCCTATAGCAGAATATAATATATTTTACCTGTCTATTTTCTGTACCTGTATAGTCGATATAACCGTCCTTCGGCGTAACACATCAGCTAACATTTTGAAGATTATAGCAGTCTATTTTCAAAGGGGCAGTAGGCCACGCCAATTTAATTTCTTGGTTAACGGATTCGCCCGCTTCATTACCCTCCATGAAAATGGGGGTACTGTTTTTACTCCGTTTCATGTTTGGTCTGATATCTGAAGATCGGTGAGAAGGAACTGTACGATATTTGGCAGATTGATGGATGGGGCCTTGGAGATTGTGTAGGTTGACTTTGAGCCCCTGGTGATTGACCTTGGTACTGCAGTTTAATTTTTTTATTCTGTTGTTTTCGCGTTATGGACTGTTTGTGCGATATTAAGGTAGCATGTAGTTGTTATTACCATGGTTTAGTGGTTTAAATTTGGGTCCCCTAGCTGTTTGCGTTTGATATTTACAAAATGTTTAATGTTGGACTTTTTGTGTTGAATGTTTGGAAAATCTGGGGGATGGTTTGGTATGATTTTTGGTATGTGGGTAGTTGTTGAGTCTCTTTGTGTTTTGGAGTGCATTAGCAGGTTGTCGCATATTTTTATTGCTTAATTTAAAAGGATTTTCACTTTTTCACCCCTACTTCATAATAGGATGGTCTGTTTGACCCAAAAGTTGGGACAGAGTGTTTTTGTTTATACCTCCAGCCCTATCTATTTTTACCCCTAGACAGAGTGTGCAGGAAAATAAATCTTGTTTGTCTGGTCTGCAGGTCATTTGCCTGTCTGGTCATTGACCTACATGTACAGGCAAATGTAGCCTGGGTACCATCCCCAGTAGTATATTCGCAAACTCTATAACAGTTATAGAGTTTGTGAATATACTACTGGGGATGGTACCCAGGCTAAGGCAAATGACCTGCTGGCCATCAAAGTAAACAAACCATGGTAACAAGACACTAAACGCCTGCACATTAATCTCCAAGCAGATCTTTCGGTGGCAAGACAGTATCCATTGGCCAGAGGAGTGTCGGTGGCTAATGGACACTCCTCCTGGCCAATGGATACTGTCTTGCCACCGAAACGAATCTGCATGGAGATTACCTGCACATGACAGCTTGATAAAATAGCAAAGTAGCCACCACAAAATCATTCTGCTGATAAAAAACAAAAGTTTAGACTCATAATAAT